TCCTTTAACAAGAACCCAGATGGTGGAGACAGGGTATTGTTTTTAAAAGTATTGTTGTTTTTTCTTTCCCGAACATCACCTGGATAAACTTGATTGTTCCAGCCCTGCTGGAACAACAATAAAACTCCTAGCTGGCTAAAGCCAGCAGGCTCTAGCCCTGGAGTCTAATCCAGCTGGTACAACCGGTGATCTCCATGATACTCCTATGTAGAAAAAACTCGTGCAAGTGGTTGTCACCCTGCGGAAGTAAAATGAAGCGATGCAGCTGTAGCTCTGAAATTCCAGAAAATGTCTGGGTCTAACATGGTCTAACTAACTTTACAAAGGGAAGGTGGGTGGAATATACCATTTTTCTATTGTATGCAGCTGGGGGGACAGGTGTCTACAAGTTCTCTTCGAAGGGAGGAGGTTGAAGGTAAGGAAGAAGGAGGTATCGATTTAAAAATAATAGATTTTTTGTTCTCTTGGTATTTCGGGAAACATCGGTTCCAGAGTATGTCTGAAAGGTAGGGGTGCATAGGGGCGGGGACACACCGACCCACGTACATTTCCCTCGAAAACATATGCTTCCTGAGGGTGGAAAATATGTGTTTTGCTAAATATATCATAGAATATATGTCCCAATCATTGGCTGGATTCATGTTAATGGATGTCCCCCGCCACCTTGCCGCTTGCTTGGAATTGTATGTGGCACAGGGGGGGGGCCAGAAAAGCACTCCACATCCCAAGTCCCCCCACAAGCGCTAGTCCCCCCACAATCTTCGTTACTTTGGGCCGTGACTGTGTCAATTGCAGCGTTGTGCACCATGGTGTGCATACATTTGGCCTTGAATCTGGACCAGTCTTTCCACCCCATACATTTTGCTAGATGTTTGTTGACCCTGTCCCCCCCGGTTCATACAATGGCCGCGAAGGCCCAAGAAATGTCATAATGGTGTTATCGACAAAGCTTCTGGGGAGAACGCACGTGGCCCTGGTTGTTTTGTATGACAGGAAACTTGAGCAGCCCTGTCGCAAATTGTATGAATGGGATTGAACAATTCTTCGGAAATCATGGGGAAATCTCGGAAAGTTGACTGTCCTGATACAGTAGTTTATGAAAGCAAAGGGGGTGAAACCGCCCTCAGGAAGCATACGTTGTCAAGGAAATGTATGAAAGGGGCGGGGACGTCCATAATCATCATATCATCAAATGTCATCAGCCAAGAAAAGCAAAATGTATGAAATCATTTCCCCCGGAATGAAATTTGGAGATGAGGACATGTATAGTACATAGTATACATTTTTGGGGTGTACACCCCAAACATGTGTGTATCTATATAGTATATACACATTTATCTGACCTGGTTCAATCAGGTTAGCAATGACTTGGTAAGGGTACTCAACATTCTGATCTGCCCAGAAAGGCACGCTCATTTCTTCTTTCCAACGCTGCACTGCACAGTGTTCGTGTGCGGGCAAAATGAAAATGAAAAATTGCTTACTGTGTATATATAGCTTTAGCAGTGAAGCAAGTCTACAAGGACTTCTCTTTCGTATCCTTTTCTTGCTTCCCACTGCTAGACAAAGGATGGCGACTTACCAATTCTCGCACATTGGGGTGGCTTTCAGCAACTTCAAGACACGAACATCCACAGCCAATACTTGTGTTATGCTTAATTATTGATAATCATTATATATATATATATATTATCATACAATGGATGCCTTGGCGTGTTTGGTACAGACCCAAGCACAAAGAAAGTCAAAGATAATCTGAAAAGTCTGTCGGAGCCAATGCCCTAACATTAATTACAAGAACAAACGCATAGTTTACGAGCAGCAATTCAACATAAATAGTTTGGGGTGCTTGTCGCGACTACAATGCTAACATCATTTTGGGGCCCTACATATAATGTGTACGCTTTGCATCGCGTCTTTTCTTTCTGTGCACTTTACTTTGGACCTTGAGACCTTCCTTGTTCCTGCCTTTGCACAGTTTGCACAATGTGGATATGAAAACAAAAACAAAAGCAAACGTTCTGCATTGTTCTTTTCTGTCCACTTCCTTTTCTTTTTCAACTGTACATTTTCCTGGCTTCATCGATATCCCTTCTTCATCCATATCTTTCAAGGATGAGATACAAAAAAAATAGATTATCCCCACCTGATGGACCATCTCACTCAGGCCGAATTCGTGGTCTCTCAGCACATCGGTCAAGTCCTCGGGCCTAGCGTTAGAATGTGAGGACTCATGTGTCTTTAAAAGACCCTCGAAGCTTTTCACAGCTTTCCAAAAGTACTTTTGACTTTTTAAGTATGTGTCTTATGTGTCTCTTCAACCTTTCCTTCCCTGTCTTAAAAGTACTCCCCGCTGCTCACAAACTGAATTGCTCACTGTCTTGCCCAAATCTTGCCGGTGATGCTCAATGGTGTTGAGACTCTCGCAGAATTGAATGGCGTACCTATGGACTCCGTTGCTTCTTCTAAGTATATATAATAATTGCGAACAGCCCCCCATGCTATTCGAGGCAATCAGCAATTGGATCTGGATCGGGGCACATTTTGCAGAAGCTCCACGGCCTCGCTGAAGAAAGATATATAATATATCATGGACTTCGAACTCGCTCTGACAAGTGATGGAGAGCTACACTTTTCAAAAAATGGTCCGGGGATGTGTCCAAACTGTGGAGAATACATGAGAGGATTGTTCAGTCGTCACTTTTAGGTTCATGATGGCAACCTGTCGATCTGTCTTCAAGTTCAGCAAAGACCCGGACAAATGGTGCAGGCTCATCTCTCTCGCAAAGACTTCGTTGCTGGCATGTAGAATGACTTGTTGCATCGGCAAAAACATGTCGAATGTTTGATTGCAAAAAGAACAGTTTCCTGAAAAAACAAAACCCAAATTGTCCTGAATTGTTTAAACCTAACTATATTTTCATATGTGCGATTGCATTTATTTGGTACTTGGCTGAAATACACTATCTCTTATGTGGGGGCCCTATCTCGTTTAGACTACTTAAGCAGGAGGTCATGTCACAGTATCTCGTTCAGACATGTTCAGACTACCTTTAGTAACAAATCACACCATCTCGTTCAGACTACTTTTGTGACATCAAACAAAAATATATCGTTTGTATATGTGGGGGCCCTATCTCGTTCACAAGCAAATAC